GAGTGATGAATCAGGCCACAGTATAGACATGTGTCTGTGGGATTCAAAGGCCGAAGATGAAGGTTCAGAAATCGAGGAGAAACCTGGACGAGGGCAGAAGCCTACTGTATGCCTGAAGGGCAGCCGGATTTCAGATTACAATGGCAAGTCTATTTCAGTCACAGGTGGCTCTACCCTTTTAGTTGATCCTGAATTAGAAGATGTCTCATGGCTGTGTGAATGGATGGTTGCTAGCTACAACCAATACTTAGTTAATTTAAACAGTTTTTAACTAATTACATTATTACAAATTGTTTTAATCATTCATCAACTTCTACACAACATTAGTTTTGAAAGCTCCAGCTTGGCTTATACTTAGAAACTTGATACCACACACAACAAATTATAAAACAATAGTAGAAAGAAATAAAACATACTTTTTGTTTTCTCACACATTTTTTCTTTTAAGTGTCAAGACCAACTATAATTTTTTGGTATCTCTGTAGCTCTCGAGCTTGCAACGAATCTTCAGATTGTACATCTTTGATCAAATAGAGTCCATTACGGTTGAAAAAACAGTATAATGATCATCTTGTAGCGCAGCCAGCTTACATGCAGGCATATCTACAATTTCATTAGCATCATCAAATGCAACCGCCTATATATGTCCAGTGCTGTCCAGAATACATAAGTGTAGTGCATATTTGAAGTGAATATCTCCAGAATCAGTGTCACAAGAGTTGCATTGCCACATACTTTCCGAAACCTGAGTAGCCTTCTTGCCACATTGGCTTCCATTGACAACCTTCACGCATGCTGGGTAATAGAAGTCACCAGTCTGGAATTCTTTCACTGACACAATAACATGAAAAATAGCAGAGAACTTGGAAACCTTCAGGTTGATAGACAACATCTCAGGTACTGTCTTTGTACCAGAAATCACTGCTTTAGAAGAAGAGTTGGTCACATGGACAAATATGGTTGTGCAAACATTGCTACAGAATAGATTTAATAAATAAAATTTTTGTTACATATAAATATGTGAATTAATAAATAATTTTAAATATTAAAATATAATATTATCACTAATGTATAATTTTAATACAGTATTATATTATTATCACTAAAATTATCAATAATTTAATATAAATATTATAATATGCATCTAGCTTAAATATATAATTTCAATTTTAGTACATAGACTAATTTTTTATTTCTAAAACTGAGTCTATGATATAGATCATACGAAATATGGTAGGTCATATAGAGTAGAATACAAAATAATAATCACTACCACTGCCACTATGAGCATCTATATACATATATGATCTTTTAAAGCTTTAGCTTCTTCCTCTCACAAAATATTAAGTTTCTGGATTTTCACTCATACAACCATTTGTATTGAACCCATCCTTAAGAGTGGGATCTCATAATGAGTAATTCCACTTATAGAAGATCGAAGATACAATGTTATGAGTTTTATTTATTATGTAATGATGTCTGTTGCTGATAGAGACAATTGTAGAAGGGATTTTTAATATAAATATTATATTATGTTTAACCATATATCTTATAATTATTATTATGTTAAAAATTATAATTATGATTATAAATCTTGTCTAAAATAATTTTTTATCAGTAATCTTATTGTTATTTTAAAAAAACATAAATAAAATTAAATATATTGAGTTGTCAAATGGCTAACATATATATATTATCATAAAAGTTTCTAACACTTAATCCTACATAATTTTTATACATGAAAAACAACTACAATTTAATTATATTAAACCTATCTATATACTATTCAGGAATTTTATGATATATTTAAATCTAACATAGAGAAAAATTATATATTATCAAACCCTACTCTACCCCAGTATAGAGTAAACCATAACCATTCATTTATCATAATAAAATTCCAGCATTCATAACAGTGTTATAAAGCCCTACTTTTAAATATATATATACATAAATATAGAGAGATAATAATCTTATTTCAGATTAGCATTCTCTCTATATAAAAATATAGACAAAAAGAAGTTTATGATAAATAATAGAATACTTCTAATTTTAAATACTACTCTCAAAATGCATAACTATAAATATTGGGCAAAAAGGGAATATCAAAGATAAATATGTAAAATATTAAAAGTTTTGAAAAGAAAATATAACACATTAACCTAACATCTTTGACTTAGTATCATGCAATTCCAAAATTTCAGTCTGAAATGATGAAAAGATAAACTTTATTATAATGTTTATATTTTTTAAAATTTAAAAGATGATTGT